CAATTTTCCGCATGCTCTCAAAAAAAATCGAAAAATTATGGAAATTGAGTTATTTATACCGAAAAATAGCTTAATTCTTTGGCAACACAATGGTACCAGAATCAATGTTCTACGATGTTTCTACAAGAAACTATAGTAATTTATATCAGGTATGGTGACGGTGATGTGGGTAGCGAGTCTGCTCACAGCCCGTATATTTTTTGGAATTTTTTCCTTGTTTATTATGTCTTTTTCTTGCATTAGTCTTTCTAATATAATAACTGACTATGTGGCATCATAAAACAGTAGGCGGAGCTTATCCGTAGACTTAGAGCCAACCAGGAACCATATGGGAACTCTCGGCAGTGCTCCCGCTCCAGAGAGTGCCAGGAGAAATCAGCTCTACGGCTTATTTATCTATCAGAATTGATCTAATATGATATAATAAACACTATAAATAACATACAAACATGTTATATACTCTAGACTGAATAAAATAAGCCATAATATGGCGAGAGACCATCGGGAATATTTCCATATAAATTAGTGAATCCTCTCATGTCGTCTCCATGTCGTATTCTTTGGTCTCTGAGTAAGAGAAAACGGTATTTTGAAGAGGATAACTGCACTAGAACTTCAGTTTACTAAGAAATACACCCAAACAAACGCGATTTTCGCGAAAAACAAAACAAAAAAAATCGAGACGGCGGGCCGGCCGGCGTCCCAGGCCAATATCTCGGAAGTAACTTATTCACCTAATATCAATAATTCTTCCTTTATTATTTAATTAAATGGAATAATATTCACAGAAATTGTAGAATAATGATTTCTCTAGTTTCCTTCGCTCAATTTTTGGAAATATTCCAAATACTTTGGGAGTTATGTGGGAGTAAAGGGCAGATTTCTTGCAACATTCCAAGAACTAACAAACTTTATTTTTTGTGAAATAAAGATAAGTTATTTTAGAGGACAGGTAGCTTATAAAATTCGTATAAGCATTGTTCTCTCGGCACCAAGTGTCCAAACAACCTTACGTCGTCCCATATAGGAATAAATCGCCCCCAAAGGGCATTTTCAGTAAATCAGTCCTTTTTCAGCGTTTTCTCAGTTGTTGTTTGAAGTATATTTTTGACAAATATTTTTTACACTGTGTGAAAACACTTTGTCTTGTGCACCAAAACTGGAGGAAATCGGACGGTAAACAAAAGAGCTACAATTTTTTCCCCGATGGCCCCCTTACTTCTTAAGAGCGTAGTAGATATGCAGCATCGTTTTTCCCCTCGTAGTTCTGTTACACGGTTCGAACAGTAGTTTCACGTATTCTCCAGTGATCACTGATAGGATGTTTAGAACAGATATATCACGTCTTGACCAGTGGAGCCACATTTCGACCAATAGCGCCAAGTGTTAACCAGAGGAATTTGCTCAGACTTGTTGGTGCCAGTGAGTCACTCGTTATCACATACATTTTACTTTTCTCTCTAATCTCAATGACATCAGGATAAAGGATGCATGTTTTCATGTGAGATAATTACTCCATATGAGGCTTTTAATAAAATGATTTTTTTTGTAAAACCTATAAACGCTGATAGATTTATTCACATATCAAACATACTCAAACTTATTCCAAAAACGAGTCCCAAGAATCATCATAAGCGCCAGTGGTGTCTGTACAGAGGTTGTCACAGGTGTCTGTGGTGTTCTCACAGATGAGAGATTGTGTGTTAAAGACTTCGTTTTCGGGGCAAAGAAATAAAGCCACATCAGGAGGGTTGCAGTACAAGTAGCCATGACAGTTGTGTGGATTAGGAATCCTGCCATCAGCCACGCAGTACACGTCACAGGGGTCACAAGTTTCGTAGCAAACAGTAGGGTCATCAGAACACGTTCCCGTCTCGAAGTTGAAATACGGAGTACCAGTCGGACATTCTACTTCCAGAGGACCTGTTTCAAGGCAGATTTCATATTTGCTACAATCCAGTGTTGACGGAATTAACGTGCCTGGAATACACAGAAAATGTATGCAGTTATGGTAATGAAAAAAAGGCACACGTTATGGAAATAATTCTCTCACATTAGTTGCCTATTTATTTATTTATTTTCAAAAAGAACCAGAAATATTGAACATTTTATAGGCATTCAAATTACTGCAGAATTTTGTATAATCATTTAATCTTAAGATGATGATGATTATTTTTATTCCTGTTATTCATTATTATTATTATTATTATTATTATTATTAATATTATTATTATTATCATGATTATTATTATTAAAAATAGTAAGTACAGAGGGAACACCGGGGTGGCCCGGTGGCCTGGTGGCAAAAGCTCCCGCTTCACACACGGAGGGCCCGGGTTCGATTCCCGGCGAGTGGAAACATTCGACACGTTTCCTTACACCTGTTGTCCTGTTCACCTAGCAGCAAATAGGTACCTGGGTGTTAGTCGACTGGTGTGTGTCGCATCCAGGGGGACAAGATTAAGGACCCCAATGGAAATAAGTTAGACAGTCCTCGATGACGCACTGACTTTCTTGGTTATCCTGGGTGGCTAACCCTCCGGGGTTAAAAATCCGAACGAAATCTTATCTTATCTATTAAAGCGAGAGAGAGAGAGACAGAGACAGACAGCCATATCGTCAATATGGCTTCAGGAAAGGTTACTCTGCTGCTGATCTGTTGTTAAACCTCTCCACTAAGTGGCACCAGTCACTGGATGAAACCAAAGTCAGCTGTGTGGTAGCACTGGACATTGCTGGTGCTTTCGACCGGGTGTGGCACCAGGGCCTCTTAGCAAAACTTCAAGCACTGGGAATTGCAGGCTCTACGCTATGTCTCCTCAGTGATTACCTTCATGCTAGATCTTTAAGTGTAGTTCTCAATGGAACGGAATCAGCAAGACATCCTATTGGGGCAAGTGTTCCACAAGGAAGCGTGCTGGGTCCATTGTTATGGAATGTCTACTTCAACGACCTTCTTCATCTCATCCCAGAATCACATGCATATGCAGACGACTGTACACTGACATTCACTTATCCAAGAGAAGAAATGCCAGCTGCTCTAAGTTACATCAATCACCAGCTGAGAGCTATATCAGCTTGGGGAAATAGATGGCAAGTAACATTTGCACCTGAGAAAACGCAAATGATGATCGTCTCTAGGCACCATGACGGTAATGCTGGTGCAGTAGTAGGAATGAATGGGAGGGTGTTGGCACCTGGAGAAGAAGTTGATATCCTTGGGATGAAATTTAACTCCAAATTAACCATGAAGAACCATGTTGTAAATCTTGCAAATAAAGCAGCCAGGAAGCTTAAAGCACTTCACTGTATCTCGCATCTGCTTGACAGTAGGGGTTGCAAGATCCTGTACGAGGCGCAAGTACGCTCACACCTTGAGTATGCTCCACTTTCTTGGTTTGCCTGCCCCCCCTCTCATCTGCAACTGCTTGACAGAGTAGAGAACAGAGCAAGACGTCTCATCTCTCACCTGGACCCATCCTGTTTAGATCTGTCATTTCAGCAGAGCCTTCAACATAGGAGGGATGTGGGTTGCCTTACTTTTATGTACAAGGCCAATATTGTCAAAATGCCACACTTGGATCCACTTCGAGGACAGCGTAAAACAAGCTTTTATGCCACAAGACGGGCAGAAAGCAGCAACTTCACTCTGGCTGTACCCTTCTCCAGAACATCACTCCATCTGAGATCATACATACCCAGGATGACTCGAGTATGGAACACATTCGTACAGCATAATGATGTCAACGAGATAAAGTCAGTTGATCAAATGAAAATGCTGGCCCACAGATGGCTCCAACTTCATCCTGTTCCCTACTTGTATGTCTATTAACAATAAAAATGCTTTCAAATGAGCTGATGTAGGTAACAGCTCTTAGCTTGCCAATAAAGTTAGGAATCCTTAACCTGTAAATAGCTTGTCAATAAAGCTAGGGATCCTTTACCTTGTCAAACCCTGTGTAAAAGAGAGAGAGAGAGAGAGAGAGAGAGAGAGAGAGAGAGAGAGAGAGAGAGAGAGAGATAGTGTGGAAAATTACATTTATCTGTATGTAACTCATAATGTACATACCAGTAAATAACAAAGATAATTATTATTTATCAGAGTTACATAGAGAAGTAAGAATTTGGGACACCTAGGTCACAAAAAATGTCCCCCTTCGATACCTACCACTGTCATATCCACAAGTTGCTCTAGACCTATTAATTATAAATGAAATATACATCACCAGGAATTCTGGTAAATATATAAATTTGTGGACTGTATATTAAAATTACTGGTTTAGAAAGACACGTAAGCAAACACTATGACATATTTATTAGAAAACGTTTCGGTCCTGGGACCTTGATCACTTCTAGAAGTGATCAAGGTCCCAGGACCGAAACGTTTTCTAATAAATATGTCATAGTGTTTGCTTAAGTGTCTTTCTAAACCAACTTGTCGGTATTTATTACCAAGGTTTATACCATTAAAATTAATAATTGATTATATATATACAATTTACATAACAGAAGGAGAATATCTTAAAATCACTCACCAATTTGACTGGAGATCAAGGTGTATCATACTCAGAAAACCTCACTAACTAAATTTATGAAAATACTGGCCAGAATTATAACACAAATCTAGATAGCTTATCTGAGGCTCCTGAAGCTGTCTTGTCCAGTCGTATGATGTTTCAATTTACGCAGGAATGCACATCCAACAATTTCATCTCCTATTTGAGAGGTGTCAGCCCAAATTTACCTCTAGAGCACGAAAATTCTTCCCAGTATTCACTAACGTTTGTGTCCATTTCAAACAACAATGGCGAGTCCCTTCTGCGCAGGTGCGGGCTACCCATTTTTTATGACATAAATTTTTATTAAATATAGTATGTTACACTAATTGACATAAAAAATACAATATTTTTTCTGGAAAATACATTATTTTCCACAGATAGATAGATAGAGAAACAGAGAGAGAGAGAGCGCAAGAGAGAGACAGAGAGAGAGAGAGAGAGAAGAGAGAGAGAGAGAGAGAGAGAGAGAGAGAGAGAGCGAGAGAGAGAGAGAGAGAGAGAGAGAGAGAGAGAGAGAGAGAGAGAGAGAGAGAGAGAGAGAGAGAGAGAGAGAGAGAGAGAGAGAGAGAGAGAGAGAAAGGCTACTCTGCTGCTGATCTGTTGTTAAATGTCTCCACTAAGTGACACCAGTCACTGGATGAATCCAAAGTCAGCTGTGTGGTAGCACTGGACATTGCTGGCGCTTTCGACCGGGTGTGGCACCAGGGCCTCTTAGCAAAACTGCAAGCTCTGGGAATTGCAGGCTCTACGCTATGTCTCCTCAGTGATTACCTTCATGGTAGATCTCTAAGTGTAGTTCTCAATGGAACGGAATCAGCAAGACATCCTATTGGGGCAAGTGCTCCACAAGAAGTGTGCTGGGACCATTCTTATGGAATGTCTACTTCAACGACCTTCTTCATCTCATCCCAGAATCCCATGCATATGCAGACGACTGCACACTGAGATTCACCTATCCAAGAGAAGAAATGCCAGCTGCTCTAAGCTACATCAATCACCAGCTAAGAGCTATATCAGCTTGGGAAAATAGATGGCAAGAAACATTTGCACCTGAGAAAACGCAAATGATGATGGTCTCTAGGCACAATTATGGTAATGCTGGTGCAGTAGTAAGGATGAATGGGAGGGTGTTGGCACCTGGAGAAGAAGTTGATATTTGAGGGGTGAAATTTGACTCCAAACTAACCATGAAGAACCATGTTATAAATCTTGCAAACAAGGCAGCCAGGAAGCTTACAGCACTTCACCGTATCTCGCATCTGCTTGACAGTAGGGGTTGCAAGATTCTGTACGAGGCACAAGTACGCACACACTTTGAGTATGCTCCACTTTCTTGGTTTGCCTGCCCCCCCCCTCTCATCTGCGACTGCTTGACAGAGTAGAGAACAGAGCAAGACGTCTCATCTCTCGCCTGGACCCATCCTGGATAGACCTTTTATTTCAGCAGAGCCTTCAACACAGGAGGGATGTGGGTGGCCTTACTGTTATGTACAAGGCCAATATTGTCAAAGTACCACACTTGGATCCACTTCGAGGACAGCGAGAAACAAGCTTTTATGCCACAAGACGGGCAGAAAGCAGCAACTTCACTCTGGCTGTACCCTTCTCCAGAATATCACTGCACCTGAGATCATATATACCCAGGATGACTCGAGTATGGGACACATTCGTAGAACATAATGATGTCAACGAGATAAAGTCAGTTGATCAAATGAAAATGCTAGCCCACAGATGGCCCTCAGCTGGCCCACTAATGACTCCAACATCATTGTTTTCCCTAATTGTATGTCTTATAACAGTAAAACTGCTTTCAAATAAGCTGATGTAGGTAACAGCTCTCAGCTTGTAAATAAAGTTAGGGATCCTTAACCTGTAAATAGCTTGTCAATAATGCTAGGGATCCTTAACCTTGTCAAACCCTGTGTAAAAAAGAGTGAGAGAGAGAGAGAGAGAGAGAGAGAGAGAGAGAGAGAGAGAGAGAGAGAGAGAGAGAGAGAGAGAGAGAGAGAGAGAGAGAGAGAGAGAGACATACATACAGACAGAGACAGATAACGAAATAAAAACATATTAGAATGCTTGTAAGATAACGTGACCATCCTGACCTGGAGTCTCACACTGGATGACACACGGGCTGCAGAGACCTTTACAATAGTCGGCAGAAGGATTTATCGTCTGACATTGCCTCACACTATCAGCTGAATTGAAGAAATACCTGAAGAAGACAAGGTGGAAATAAATGGTATAAAATACCGACACAATGAAATATAAACACACATGCAGTATAATGTGATCCTTTATTGACTACGTTTCGCCCACTGTGTGGGCGAAACGTAGTCAATAAAGGATCACATTATACTGCATATGTGTTTATATTTCACTGAAGAAGACAACTGTGCATCACTCCTGGATATAACGTGCTTTCCGGCATATAAGGCGCAAGACAGAAGTATGAGGGTAAATTAGTAATCACATTCAAGGGCTCTTGACCCTGACTTTGAGCATATAAGGCGCAGGATGATTTTCAAGAATTTTGTGGGAAAAAAGCGCGCCTTATATGCCGGAGAATACGGTAAGTACACTAGTGGTATGTATCACACATTATAAGACTGGTAGGATGCATGACACAGTATATGATTAGTAGGATGTATCACACAGTATAAGACTGATAGGATGTATCACACAGTATAAGACTGATAGGATGTAACACACAGCATAAGACTGGTAGGATGTATCACACAGTATAAGACTGGTAGGATGTATCACACAGTATATGATTAGTAGGATGTATCACACAGTATAAGACTGATAGGATGTATCACACAGTATAAGACTGGTAGGATGTATCACACAGTATAAGACTAGTAGGATGTATCACACAGTATAAGACTAATAGGATGTATCACACAGGGTAAGTCTGGTAGGATGTATCACACAGTATATGACTAGTAGGATGTATCACACAGTATAAGACTGGTAGGATGTATAACACAGTATAAGACTGGTAGGATGTATCACACAGTATAAGACTGGTAGGATGTATAACACAGTATAAGACTGGTAGGATGTATCACACAGTATAAGACTGGTAGGATGTATCACACAGTATAAGACTGGTAGGATGTATCACACAGTATAAGACTGGTAGGATGTATCACACAGTATAAGACTGGTAGGATGTATCACACAGTATAAGACTAGTAGGATGTATCACACAGTATAAGACTAATAGGATGTATCACACAGGGTAAGTCTGGTAGGATGTATCACACAGTATATGACTAGTAGGATGTATCACACAGTATAAGACTGGTAGGATGTATAACACAGTATAAGACTGGTAGGATGTATCACACAGTATAAGACTGGTAGGATGTATCACACAGTATAAGACTGGTAGGATGTATCACACAGTATAAGACTGGTAGGATGTATCACACAGTATAAGACTGGTAGGATGTATCAGACAGTATAAGACTGGTAGGATGTATCACACAGTATAAGACTGGTAGGATGTATCACACAGTATAAAACTGGTAGGATGTATCACACAGTATAAGACTGGTGAAATGGTCTCAGAAACGAGATGAAAAAGATTCTTTTAGATCTGATTTCGTATTTCGAATATAAATACTTATAGTTTCCTACATAAGACGAACTGTGATCCAATATAAAAATCTATTCCTCACTGCAAGATAGTTAATACTTGTCAGGCACTTGTGTGCAGATACTTGGCCTGTTGTGTGTGGCGAGTTAAGACACGGCAGCCATCAGGCAGCCTGAGAATTACCAGTGTTAAGAGTGTTGGAAATTTATGGTAACAAGCATTGCTTCCAGGAATTTCATGAGATGTTTATTGGTGTTGTGGTTTATGGTACAGACATTTAAGCAATTTCTTGGAAAGAGCATTTTTATTTGTGTTTTTTAAGTTCTGAAGCGTTTCCTCCTTAACGAAATATTTAGTTCATCCCGGATATGGAATGGTGTAGAACCCGGAGTTGGATTCTTGAGTTGTCTCCTCATCGTTGTTTTGAAGCAATGTACGTGTGACTTTTAGCAACCTGACCTAACCTAACCTAACCTAACCTAACCTAACCTAACCCAACATAACCTAACCTAACCTAACCTAACCTAACCTAACCTAACCTAACCCAACATAACCTAACCTAACCTAACCTAACCTAACCTAACCTAACCTAACATAACCTAACCTAACATAACCTAACCTAACCTAACCTAACCTAACCTAACCTAACCTAACCTAACCTAACCTAACCCAACATAACCTAACCTAACCTAACCTAACCTAACCTAACCTAACCTAACCTAACATAACCTAACCTAACATAACCTAACCTAACCTAACCTAACCTAACCTAACCTAACATAACCTAACCTAACCCAACATAACCTATCCTAACCTAACCTAACCTAACCTAACATAACATAACCTAACCTAACCTAACCTAACCTAACCTAACCTAACCTAACATAACCTAACCTAACATAACCTAACCTAACCTAACCTAACCTAACCTAACCTAACATAACCTAACCTAACCCAACATAACATAACCTAACCTAACCTAACCTAACCTAACCTAACCTAACATAACATAACCTAACCTAACCTAACCTAACCTAACCTAACCCAACATAGCCTAACCTAACCTAACCTAACATAACCTAACCTAACATAACCTAACCTAACGTAACGTAACCAAACCTAACCCAACATAGCCTAACCTAACCTAACATAACATAACCTAACGTAACGTAACCTAACCTAACATAACATAACCTAACGTAACATAACCTAACCTAACCTAACCCAACATAGCCTAACCTAACCTAACCTAACATAACCTAACCTAACATAACCTAACCTAACATAACCTAACCTAACCCAACATAGCCTAAACATAACCTAACCTAACCTAACCTAACCTAACCTAACCCAACATAACCTAACATAACCTAACCTAACCTAACCCAACATAGCCTAACCTAACCTAACCTAACATAACCTAACATAACCTAACCTAACATAACCTAACCTAACATAGCCTAACCTAACCTAACATAGCCTAACCTAACCTAACCTAACGTAACGTAACCTAACATAACCTAACCTAACCCAACATAACGTAACATAACCTAACCCAACATAACCTAACCTAACCTAACCTAGCCTAACCAAATGTAACCTAACATAACCTAACCTAACCTAACCCAACATAACCTAACATAACCTCACATAACCTAACATAACCTAATATAACCTAACCTAACGTAACCTAACACAACTTAACTAACCTAACCTAACCTAACCTAACATAACATAACCTACCCTAACGTAACCTAACATAACGTAACCTAACGTAACCTAACATAACCTACCCTTACGTAACCTAACCTAACATAACCTAACCTAACATAACCTAACATAACCTAACCTAACATAACCTAACCCAACATAACCTTACCTAACATAACCTAACCTAACTTAACCTAACCTAATCTAACCTAACCTAACCTTACCTAGCCTAACCTAACATAACCTAACATAACTTAACCTAACATAACCTAACCTAACATAACCTAACATAACCTAACATAACCTACCCTAACATACCCTAACCTAACATAACCTAACCTAACATAACCTAACCTAACATAACCTAACCCAACATAACCTAATTTAACCTAGCTAAACAAATTCTAGGGAATATTTTCCATATTTGAACTGTTGGGAGAGGGGAAGGGTGTGGTCGTAGAGCAATTGTCTGTCATCGGAGGCCCGGTGGCCTGGTGGCTAAAAGCTCCCGCTTCACACACGGAGGGCCCGGGTTCGATTCCCGGCGGGTGGAAACATTCGACACATTTCCTTACACCTGTTCACCTAGCAGCAAATAGGTACCTGGGTGTTAGTCGACTGGTGTGGGTCGCATCCTGGGGGACAAGATTAAGGACCCCAATGGAAATAAGTTAGACAGTCCTCGATGACGCACTGACTTTCTTGGGTTATCCTGGGTGGCTAACCCTCCGGGGTTAAAAATCCGAACGAAATCTTATCTTATCTTATCCTCAGAGCTACGATAGGCAGAGACAGCAACAAAGCTAAGTGTTTCATACAGAGTTTTAGTATTTGTTCTACAAGTTCATTTGACCAAAGTTTTGGTTAGTTAAATTTTACCATACAAAGGGTCCTGGGAAGGTTTTGTTAAAGTACAGAGATTTATATGCGTGTATATGAACTGAGAGATACGTACATATGTATATATACAGAGAGACACGCTTGTGGCTAAGTGAAATATGTCGTCTATGCAGTAGACTTCATCAGTGGAATACAGATGCAACTATTATGGAGACAACAGAAACAGTGGAGATATAAAGACGAGATCAATCCATCAACCTTGAAGTAGTTATGAGGTGGTCAGACACTTTCCACTGCAGCTTCTCTCTCCATAACCAGCCACCTCTGTGTTCGACTGAAGAAGCCTACTGTGTAGACGAGAAGTTTCGGAATAAAGATACTAAACTATAGTACACGTGTCTTACTTATCTCCTTGTTGGTATTGAATACCATAATTATGTTGATACACACCTGTGTATGTAACATTATCACAAGTAAGTAATATCTTAGTAATCAGTTTAATCACTTTGAAAAGGAACTATAATCTATATGGCATTGTGATTTTAAAAAAAATATTGAATGATTGATAACTGAATGATCTAAGTGTTGCAGTATACCTGTCATGATGTACAACGAGAGATTAATATGCAACGAATGTTAATTATGTGTACCATATTTATAACTATATACATTGAGGGGATATATACCTAGTTGAGTAAATACAATTCTGATATTTTATTTTGTTCATGAGAAACTGTAAACCCGTTAGGGTCATATAGCACTCTACTATCATGCTGACCAGCGCGTAATCCTACATATATTAACACATAGAAAAGTATAATTGGACTCACCCTTCTTCGCACTGGAGGGGTAAGACAGATGGCTCTATGGGGAGGACACCGTCTCCATCTGGGTCGCTACAGACATAATACTGAAGACAATTGGTTGGGTCTTTAACCAGGTCTCCCTCTTTCCTGCCTGTGCAGTCAGGTACACACAGCTGTGATGACGCCCGGACTGCCTGGGAAAACAGGGAACGAGACACATGTATACTTGGAAGGTGGAGGTAGACACAAAAACACATCACCCACACTCACATATAGTGCTGCAGGCAGTAGTGTTGACACAAGTGACGCTTGAGTGAGGGGCAACGAGCAGCGAGTCAGTGCTACTGGCAGCTGTGTTGACACAAAAAAGTCATTAACAACAGGTCAAGGTTGTGACCAGTAAAAAAAGAAGTGTAAATATCTACTCATTTCAGAGGAGTGGAGCAGCAGCCTAACATGACATAAACAGTGACTAACTTTCATATACATGGGCAGTGTTGAGTGTACCTATGGGTACATTCTCTCTTTCTCTCTCTCTCTCTCTCTCCAACACACACACACACACACACACATACACACACATACACACACACGCACACACGAGGACCAGGCAGAACTACAAAGAGATCTGACAGGCTGCAGGTCTTGTCCAGCAACTGACTCCTGAAGTTCAACCCCTTCAAGTGCAAAGTCATGAAGATTGGGCAAAGAAGACCGCAGACGGAGTACAGTCTAGGGGGCCAAAGACTACAAACCTCACACAAGGAGAAGGACCTTGGGGTGAGTATAACACCAGGCACATCTCCTGAGGTGCACATCAACCAAATAACTGCTGCAGCTTATGGGCGCCTAGCAAACCTAAGAACAGCATTCTGACAGCTTAAGGAATCGTTCAGGACCCTGTACACTGTGTATATTATACCCATATTGGAGTATGCAGCACCAGTTTGAAACCCACACCTAGCCAAGCATGTAAGGACGCTAGAAAAAGTGCAAAGGTTTGCAACTTGACTGATCCCGGAGTTAAGGTGTATGCCCTACGAGGAGAGGTTAAGGAAAATCGATCTGACGACACTGGAGGATAGGAAAGGTAGGGGGGATAGGATAACAACATACAAAATCTGAGAGGAATCAACAAGGTGGACAGAGACAGGATGTTTCAGAGATGGGACATAGCAACAAGGGGTCATTGTTGGAAGTTAAAGACTCAGATGAATCACAGGGATCTTAGGAAGCATTTTTTCAGTGACAGAGTTGTCAGAAAGTGAAATAGTCTAGGAAGTGATGTAGTGGAGGCAGGATCAATACATAGCTTTAAGAAGAGGTATAATAAAGCTCATGGAGCGGGAAGAGTGACCTAGTAGCGGCCAGAGAATAGGAGGGGCAAGGAGCTGTGAATCGACCCCTGCAACCACAATTAGGTGAAAACTTGGTGAGTACACACACACACACACAGTGATTTAGGTCAACTCTGCTTGTGAGGTCAAAGGTAGACTTAACCAACTAGTGTAAATTGTCACACCCCTTGCCTTGGGTCTCGGTCTCAGATCATTTGATCTTGATGGCGACAGTAAGGAGTGGTTAGTGACTCTGGTGTGAAAACATGTGGTGTGCATCTCATGGGGGTGAACCCCAAAACGTAGAGTTTAGGAGGGGCACTTTAAGGACCACATAAACTCTAGGAAACAGAGAGGAGATTCGGTCAGAGCTCTTACCTGCGTGTAGAGCTCTGGGCGAGGAGCTAGAGTCTCTGGGGGAAACTTTAGGTCTGCTGTAGCTGGGATCATAGAGCTGTGGAGAGAGCTGGGAGCTCTGGGGAGCTAGCTGTCCTCAGTGTGGGTCTTGAGACCCGTGGCTAGTAAGTTCCTTCGATGAACCGCCCTACTGCACATGTATTGTAAGATATATTCACTTTTGTCTCACTGTTTATGTACAATCCCCATTTATCTAAATCCAATCCTGTATTCCTGTTCCAGATTATATTACTGTACAAAAACTTAGAAATAAAACTGAGTGGAATAGTAACATTCACTGTCCCAGTTATTTCTTTTTCTTATTTTATTATTTTATTTAAAGTACTGAGAGGATGAGTAGTGTAGAGTTAATGAGAGGTGATGGTGTAGTTACCAGTGACCTCGCATTTCCTCCTCTCATACCAGTCGACTCACCTCTCATGCATACTCTCTTCCTTTTCTTTCGTTACTCCTTTATCCCTTATTACCTGAATTGTCCCCATCTTATATGACAGCTCACACACAGACACCCGCACACACGTGTAGGGCCAGGAGCTGTGAATCGACCCCTCCAACCACAACTAGGTGAGTACACACACACACACACACCAAGCCAGTGAGATAAGAGGTGAGGATAGATGAGGTAGTGAGTAATAACACAATCACAAGATGAGAGGAATATCGATAGATCAGTTAGTGAATAATAAAACAATCATAAAGTAAGGGGGGAAAGAAGAGGAAAAAATCGAAGGGAAAATATCCAGTTTTCTTTGGACTCCGGTGAATAGAATAATTAAAGAGAAGAAGAAACTGAAGGGGAACCAGAGCCAGGAGTGCTGTCACAACGAGAATCATCGTGCAGCCACAACACAGCAGGGATCCTAGATGACACCCCTGCCAGGCGTGATATACAAATGATCTTTTTGTGGTTGCATGTTGAATTATCAGTGTTGACACCAATGTTTGGCCCTGCATCAGTAGTAGCTGTGGGTCACAAACCCTACTCTGGAGAGCTAATATCATACATACATCACTTAAGAGGGAAGAAGAGCTAGTAGGAGAGTTTGGATTACCACATGTAGGCCGACACGTGCACAGGTGCTTAGGCATACATAACTGACAGTAAAACAAACATACAGCCTACTGACCATTAGTCTTCCTCCTTCTCCTAATATTCCTCCTCCTCCACCTATTTCTCCTTTCCCTCCTTCTCCTCTTCCTCTTCCATCTCCTACTTCTCATTGTCTTCTGTTCTTCCTCTTCCTCCTCCACCTATTCCTCCTCTCCCTCATCCTCCTCCTACTCGTCTTTCTCCTCTTCCCCCAACCTCCTCCTTTTCCCTCTCTCTCCCTTAGCCTTCCCTCTCTCGCTTTTCCCTCCACCCTCCTTTCACTGTAACTAGACAGCACCAACCCACTCATTTCCCTACACTTCCCTGTTCTCTCCTCTCTCTCCCTCTGTCTCTCTCTCTCCATTTCTCTTCATCTCTCTCTCTCTCTCTCTCTCTCTCTCTCTCTCTCTCTCTCTCTCTCTCTTTTTACGCATGGTCTGACAAGGTTAAGGATCCCTAGCTTTATTGACAAGCTATTTACAGGTTAAGGATTCCTAACTTTATTGGCAAGCTAAGAGCTGTTACCTACATCAGCTCATTTGAAAACATTTTTATTGTCATGAGACATACAAGTAAGGAACAGGATGAAGTTGGAGCCATCTGTGGGCCAGCATTTTCATTTGATCAACTGACTTTATCTCGTTGACATCATTATGCTGTACGAATGTGTTCCATGCTCTAGTCATCCTTGGTATGTATGATCTCAGATGGAGTGATGTTCTGGAGAAGGGTACAGCCAGAGTGAAGTTGCTGCTTTCTGCTCGTCTTGTGGCATAAAAGCTTGTTTCACGCTGTCCTCGAAGTGGATCCAAGTGTGGTATTTTGACAATATTGGCCTTGTACATAACAGTAAGGCCACCCACATCCCTCCTATGTTGAAAACTCTGCTGAAATGACAGATCTATCCAGGATGGGTCCAGGAGAGAGATGAGACGTCTTGCTCTGTTCTCTACTCTTTCAAGCAGTCGCAGATGAGAGAGGGGGCAGGCAAACCAAGAAAGTGGAGCATACTCATGGTGTGAGCGTACTTGTGCCTCGTACAGGATCTTGCAACCCCTACTGTCAAGCAGATGCGAGATACGGCGAAGTGCTGTTAGCTTCCTGGCTGCCTTGTTTGCAAGATTTACAACATGGTTCTTCATGGTTAGTTTGGAGTCAAATTTCACCCCACAAATATCAACTTCTTCTCCAGGTGCCAACACCCTCCCATTTATCCTTACTACTGCACCAGCATTTCCATCATGGTGCCTAGAGACGATCATCAAATGCGTTTTCTCAGGTGAAAATGTTACTTGTCATCTATTTCCCCAAACAGATATAGCTCTCAGCTGGTGATTGATGTAGCTTAGAGCAGCTGGCATTTCTTCTCTTGGATAAGTGAATGTCAGTGTACAGTCGTCTGCATATGCATGTGATTCTGGGATGAGATGAAGAAGGTCGTTGAAGTAGACATTCCATAACAATGGACCCAGCACGCTTCCTTGTGGAACACTTGCCCCAATAGGATGTCTTGCTGATTCCGTTCCATTGAGAACTACACTTAGAGATCTACCATGAAGGTAATCACTGAGGAGACATAACGTAGAGCCTGCAATTCCCAGTGCTTGAAGTTTCGCTAAGAGGCCCTGGTGCCACACCCGGTCGAAGCGCCAGCAATGTCCAGTGCTACCACACAGCTGACTTTGGTTTCATCCAGTGACTGGTGCCACTTAGTGGAGACGTTTAACAACAGATCAGCAGCAGAGCAACCTTTCCTGAAGCCATATTGACGATCACAAAGTAGTGAGTGGTAGTCAAAAACTCAAGGATCTTACCAGTGATTGACAGAGTGACTCTGGTCTGTGGTTGCTGATTTCTGCTCTGCTCTTCTTTTTTGTGAACAGGGACTACATTTGCCTTTTTTCATAGAGAGGGCCATTTACACTGTACTAGGCAGTGCTGAAAGATGCGAGTTAGAAGTGCTGCTAGCTGGTCTGCACATCTTCTCAACAATCTTGGGCTCAACTTGTCTTGGCCCACAGCCTTTTCTTCGTCAAGCGATTTAAGAAGGAAATGCACCTCCTCCTGCCTCTCTCTCTCTCTCTCCCTCTCTCTCTCTCTCTCTCCTCTCTCTCTCTCTTTCTGTCTGTTTGTCTCTCTCTCTCTCTCTCTCTCTCTCTCTCTCTCTGTCTGTTTGTCTCTCTCTCTCTCTCTCTCTCTCTCTCTCTCTCTCTCTCTCTCTCTCTCTCTCTCTCTCTCTCTCTCTCTCTCCCTCTCTTTCTCTCCATCATTCTCTCTTCCTCTTTCTTCTATCCCTTGTCATCTCCCACCATCCCCCCATTCTCCTCTCTTTTCCTTCCTCCCTCCCTTTCACCCTTTCTCTCCTCTAGCCCCCTTTCTAATCTTTCTCCTCCCCCATTACTTTCCCTACCTCCCTCTCTCTCCCCATATCTGCCCCCCACACACACACTCCCCTCCACACACACCCCCAATACACAACATGCACAAGCACACACACCCACATTACAACACACACACAACACACACACACGCACACACACACAACACACACACACCACACACACACACACAACACACACATTACAACATAAAAAAAATGGGCTCGGAAAGGAAGTCGAAGGCTCGAGATTAGAGAAAATGCTTCTGGCAGAGAAAAATGGATGGAAAAAACAATATAAAAGGATGGAACAAGAGTGGAAGAGCAAACTAGTGAGCTTCCTGTGAAAATGGAGAGGAGAATGAGGCAGTGAAGAAGAAATGGAGTCATAAGCCGAAGCCGCAGAAGCCAGGATAAGGCCCCTAGAATATGAGGTAAATAGCTGAAGTGAGTTACAGGGCTATTGCCCAGAGGAGACAGCATCTGAAGCAGGTACACCTGTACTGAATAGGGAGCCAATGGAAACGAAGGAGACCTGACCTACACTAAGGCCCTATCAGACCACCAAGCATGGCCCAAAATGAAGGGAGAGAGCAGTTAGAAGCAAGGATAAGCAGTAAGAGAGGGGGAGAAGGTGGAGAGAGAGATAGGACCCATGCAGAGGCATGATCATGCCACCAAAAGCTACAGGAATAAATAAGGGAAACAATGGCTATGTACAAACGGGAATGGCAATGCCAGAGGAAAGAGAGAGGTGAATGTTTATTTTTAGGCTTTGGGAGAGTGAGGAGATGATCCACAATGAAAGATGGCAGAAGAAAAACAGAAGATTGAAAACATCATCAGAGAAATAGGTGGGGGGGCATGATTGAGATAGTGTTCATAGCGTTGGAGACAATACATACAACTGAGGAAGAAGTGAAGAGGCTGCTAAGCGAGCTAGGTACCTCAAAGGCAATGGGGCTGGATAACATCTCTCCATGGGTCCTGAGAGATGGTGCAGAAGTGCTATGTGTACCCTTAACAACAATTTTCAACACATCTATCGAAACAGGGCGACTACCTGAGGTATGGAAGACAGTAAATGTAGTCCCAATATTTAAAAAAAGAGACAGACACGAACCATTAAACTACAGACCAATGTCACTGATATGTATAGAAATGCAGAGTCATGGAGAAGACTATGGGAAGAAGAGTGGTGGAGCACCTAGAAAGGAATGAGCTTATCAGTGACAGCCAGCATGGTTTCAGGGACAGGAAATCTTCTGTCACAAACCTACTGGAGTTCTATGACAGGGTGACAGCAATAAGACAAGAGAGAGAGAGGGGTGGGTAGACTGTATTTTTTTGGACTTTAAGAAGGCGTTTGACACAGTTCCACACAAGAGATAAGTGCAAAAGCTGGAGGACCAGGCATAGATAACAGGGAAGGCAATACAATGGATCAGGAAATACCTGTCAGGAAGACAGCAGCGAGTAATGGTAAGTGGCGAGGTGTCAGAGTGGACGCCTGTGACGAGTGGGTTTTCACAGGGGTGAGTCCTAGGACCGGTGCTGTTTCTGGTATTTGTGAATGACATAACGGAAGGAATAGACTTCGAAATGCCCCTGTTTACCGATGATGTGAAGTTGATGAGAAGAATCCAATCGGATGTGGACCAGGCAAAACTACAATGGGATCTGGTCCAGCAATTGGATCCTGGAGTTCAACCCCACCAAGTGCAAAGTCATGAAGATTGGGGAAGGGCAAAAACCGCAGACAGAGTACAGTCTAGGGGGCCAAAGACTACAAACCTCACATGGTGTGAGTATAACACCAGGAACATCTCCTGAGGTAAATCGATCTGACGACACTGGAGGATAGGAGAGGTAGGGGGGACAGGATAACGACATACAAAGTACTGAGAGGAAAAAACAAGGTGGACAGAGACAGGATGTTCCAGAGATGGGACACAACAACAAGGGGTCACAGTTGGAAGTTGAAGACTCAGATGAATCACAGGGATGCTAGGAAGTAAATTTTTTCAACCATAGAGTGAGGTAGTGGAAAGTGAGGTAGTGCAAAGTGAGGTAGTGGAGGCAGGTAGAATACATAGCTTTAAGAAGTGCTATGAGAAAGTTCATAGAGCAGGGAGAGAGAGGACCTAGTGATGACCAGTGAAGACACGGGACCAGGAGCTATGAATCGTTACCTGAAAAAGCAATTAGGTGAGTACACGCACACACATACACACACACACACACACACACACACACACACACACACACACACACACACACACAACACACACACACACACACACACACACACGCATACACACACACACGCACAGACACACACACACAGATTAGTCAGGAAGTGGAATAGTTTGGGAAGAGAAGTAGTGGAGGCAGGATCCATACATAGCTTTAAGCAGAGGTATGATAAAGCTCACGGTACAGGGAGAGTGACCTAGTAGCGACCAGTGAAGGCGGAGCCAGGAGCTTGGGATCGACCCCTGCAACCTCAACTAGGTGAGTACAACTAGGTGAGTACACACAAGCAAACAAACAAACAAGGCCTTCGACACAATTACTCACACAGAGAATTAATGAAAAAGCTAGAGGATCAGGCACGCACAACAGGAAAGGCACCGCAGTGGATCAGAGAATACCTTACAGGGCGGCAACAACGAGTCATGGTACGTGACGAAGTATCTGAGTGGGCTCCTGTGACGAGAGGGGTTCCACAGGGGTCAGTCCTAGGACCGGTGCTGTTTTTGATATATGTGAGTGACGTGACTGAAGGGATAAGCTCAGAGGTGTCCCTGTTTGCAGATCATGTGAAGTTAATGAGAAGAACTGAATAGGATAAGAATCAGGCAGGTCTTCAAAGAGACCTGGATAGACTACCAGCCTGGTCCAACAAATGGCTCCTTGAATTTAACCCCGCCAAATGCAAAGCCATGAAAATCGGGGAAGAGCAAAGAATACCGCAGACAGAGTGTATTCTATGTGGCCAAAGACTAGAAAGCTCACTCAAGGAAAAAGATCATGGGGCGAGTATGCAGCGAGAGAGGACTTAGTAGCGATCAGTGAAGAGGCGGGACCAGAAGCTATGAATCAACCCCTGCAACCACAAATAGGAGAGTACACAGGTGTCCTTGTTTGCTGATGTTGTGAAGCTAATGCGGAGAGTTCAAGTGGATGAGGATTAGGTACAAGTACAAAGTGTTCTAGACAGGCTAAAAACCTGGTCCATCAACTGACTCCTGGAGTTCAACCCCACCAAGTGCAAAGTCATGAAGTTTGGGGAAGGTTATAGAAGTTCACAGAGAGAGTACAGGCTAGGGAGGCCAATGACTGCAAACCTTACTCAAGCAAAAGGATCCTGGGGTGAGTATAATAACGAACATATCTCCTGAGGTGTACTTCAGTTAAATAACTGCTGCACCATATGGGCACCTGGCAAACCTAAAAATAGCGTATCGACACCTTAGCGAGGAATCGTTCAAGACTCTGCACACCGTGTACGTCAGTCCTATACTGGTATTGCAACTCCAGTATGGAACCCACACTTGATCAAGCACGTCAAAAAATTAGAGAAGGTAGAAAGGTTTGCTACAGGACTAGTCCCGGCGGGAAAGGGCATGTCAAAAGAGGAGAGATTAATAGAAATTGATCTGACGACAGAGGACAGGAGGGATAGGGAGGGCTTGACAACGACACATAGGGGTAGTTAAAAGATGTTTTAGAGATGGGACACAACAACAGTGGGTCACAACTGGAAGTTGAAGACTCAGATGAACCACATGAATGTTAGGAAGTATTTCTTTAGTCACAGAGTTTTCAGGAAGTGGAATTCTCTGGGAAGTGATGTAGTGGAGGAAGGGTCCACACATAGCTTTAAGAAAAGATACGATAAAGCTAATGGAGCAGGGAGAGAGTTAGCTTAGAAGCGATCAGTGAAGATTCGGGGCCAGAAGCTATGAATCGACCCCTGCAACTACAAATAGGTGAGTAAAATAGGTTAGCAAACATACAAAAGTACAGAGACAGACAGACACACACACACACAATATATATAAACAATACACACACACACACACACACACATATATAATATATATATATATATATATATATATATATATATATATATATATATATATATATATATATGTCGTGCCGAATATGTAAAACTGGTCAATTAGCAAGAACTCATTTAAAATTAAGTCCTTTCTAAAATTTTCTTTTATACGTTTAAAGATGTATTTTATTCATTAATGTTGATGAAAAAATTAATGATTTTGCACCAAAAGGAAATTAGAAAACTTACCTAACCTTATTGTAACATGCTCAATTTATTTTCGCCTAACCCAACTAAATATATTTTAGATTTGTTTACAGTAATTTAATACTAAACAAACACAGTAATATATATTTTTTTCGTTAGGTTGAGAATGATTTTGGCGAAATTATTGCATACACAAATTTTCACTAGTCCCATATAGTTCTGCCTATTCGGCATGACATATATATATATATATATAAATACATATATATATGTCAAAGAGGTACATATTTATTATTATTATAGTATATATATATATATATATATATATATATATATATATATAATATATATATATAATATACATATACATATATATATATATATATATATATATATATATATAATATATATATATATATATATATATATATATAATATATAATATATATATATATTTATATATATATATATATATATATATAAATATATATATATATATATATATATATATATATATATATATATATATATATATATATATATATATATATAATATATATATATATATACATACATACTAATTAAACTAAAGTGTTCCATACCAGCAGAAGTGCTGAGACAATTGCGACGACCCGCATGGTGGAAGTCGGTGACTAGTATGGTCATAATGCTCGTTGCTGTCGCTGCCTTATAACACTATGTGCTTTCTCCAGCTGTCAGTCTTCCCACCTGTCACTTACATCAACGATTGGTACAATTTACGTTACAAAAAATTAAGCCCCACCCCTTGACATATTTGCCAGATATGTTTCTTCAGAAGGCAGAGGCCTGGGAATTGTTGTGTGAGTGATAGGAAGCCAGAACACTCGGTTGTCTGGGAAAGGCTACACGTGGTGGCGAGTATTTCATAACAACACTTGGATATCTGGGGGGACTAAGCTTACGAGACCTCGGTAAGAGTACCATGGGAGACAAGCCTAATATACCTGCTGCAATGTAATTACATTTATATATAGATATATATATATATATATATATATATATATATATATATATATATATATATATATATATATATATATATATATATATATATACATTATATATATATATAATATATATATATATATATATATATATATATATATATATATATATAATATATATATATATATATATATATATATATATATGTCGTGCCGAATAGGCAGAACTTTCGATCTTGGCTTAAATAGCAACGTTCATCTTGCCATATAGGACAAGCGAAAATTTGTGTATTCAATAATTTCGACAAAATCATTCTGAACCTAACGAAAAAAATATATTTCACTGTGTTTGTTTAGAAATTAAATTATTGTAAACCAATCTAAAAATATTTAGTTGGGTTAGGCTACAATAAATTTTTCTTGTTATAATAAGGTTAGGTAATTTTCTAAGATTCTTTTGTGCAAAATTAAAAATTTTTTCATTAACATTAATGAAAAAAATATATTTTTAAACGTATAAGAGAAAATTTACGAAAAAGACTTAATTTTAAATGAGTTCTTGCTAATTGACCAATTTTACATTTCGGCACGACATATATATATATAATATATAAAATATATATATATATATATTAAATAATATATATATTTTAATATATATATACATATATAAAATATATATAATATATATAATTTTATATATATAAATATATATATATATATATAATATATATATATATATATATATATATTATATATAATATATACTAAATAAAAATAATAAAATATGTACCTCTTTGGGCATATGACGTGTTTGCCTCAACTTATCCAAGAAACCAAAAACTACATGAAAAGAATATAGTTTTTAATTTGTAATTCCCTTCCAGAAAATGCATGAAGTTCTTAGTCCGCCAAGTGATACAGTCATGTATAAAAACCACCTTCTTCAACTGACCCAAATTCTGCATAGATTATTTTTTTTTAAAGCACAAAATTTTTGTCAAAGTTAATCTTGTTTAGGTAATTCATATTATTATTTTTACGATAATCAATTTATTTTCTCTTACGTCATAACCACTACAAGTATTTTAACAAATTGTCTTACCAAAACAATCCAGAAATGTCATAAACTTTAATAGTAGTATATTCATGTCGATCTAGAGACACTGGCGGATTCCAGGATAATGACCATGGAAAAGAATGTGATAATGGGGGGTCAGCATAACCTCAGGGCTGTCAGGGTACAAGTTTAATATGTTTAATCATCCCCCAAGGGGATAGAGAGACTTATTCCTGTGCATTACTAAGTAGGAACAGAAGTAGAACAAAGGATTCAGGTGACCGGGTGGCAGATTCCAGGATAATGAGTGTGGAAAAGAATGTGATACTCGGGGACAGCATAACCTCAGGGCTGTCAGGGTACAAGTTTAATATGTTTAATCATCCCCCAAGGGGATAGAGAGACTTATTCCTGTTGCAATAAATAAGTAGGAACAGAAGCAGAACAAAGGATTCAGGTGACGGTGGCAGAAATTTCCCGGATAATGACCATGGAAAAGAATGTGATACTCGGGGGACAGCATAACCTGAGGGCTGTCAGGGTACAAGTTTAATATGTTTAATCATCCCCCAAGGGGATAGAGAGACTTATTTCTGTGCATTACTAAGTAGGAACAGAAGCAGAACAAAGGATTCAGGTGACTGGGTGGGAGATTCCAGGATAATGACCATGGAAAAGAATGTGATACTCGGGGGACAGCATAACCTCAGGGCTGTCAGGGTACAAGTTTAATATTTTAATCATCCCCCAAGGGGGAAAAGAGACTTTTTCTGTGCATTACTAAGTAAAAAAAGGTGATAATGACACTTCTGACTCCCCCCCCCCCAAAAAAA